AAGATTTAAAAGAATAAGAAATCTAAATAAAAATGTAAAGGTCTACACTGCGAAACATCATAAACCAAGTCACAAGGCAAGTTACAAAAAAAAAGAAAAAGAAAAATGCAACACAAACAGAAGAGCTGATTCCCTTAATAGAAAAAGTTATTACAAAATTAATAAGATCAGCAACCTAAAATAAAAACAGAAAAAATACCAAAAAAGTCACAAAAAGAATAAAAATAAGTGCTTTTTAAAAGTTTGAAAAGGTGTGGTCTAACTTAAAAGAAAATAAGTTGAAACTTCAATGCAATAGAATTATGTTCAAAACTAACAAAGATAAATTACTAACAATGTGTTAGTGAGGGTGTGAGTGAATTAGGAATCTCACAATTCAGTAGGGGTGCAAACGGGTAGTCTCCTAGAAGGCAATTTGACACCAAGATAAAATGGCACGTCTTTTGACCAAGGAAATCTATGTTATTTTATAGACATATTTACACATGTATCAAAGGGAAAAATAATAATACAGTACCGTCGCATGTATGTAGTAACACAAAGATGTAAACAGTTTAAATGATCATCAAAGATCTGGCTAAACAAATTACAGTAAACCAAACAATGGGATATCAGCTGTTTTAAAAGCAAGAAGCAGATCTACATGTACTTACATAGACTGATCTCTAGCATCAGGCAACCAAAAAAAAAAAAAAAAAAAGGTCATAAGAGTGTCTACTGTGTTATTTATACAGAAAGGGAGGCTGAAGAGCATACATATATGCTGGTAAATACATATAAAATATTTGAATGGATACTAAAGAACAGACAGCAGTGGTTGTTTCTCAAGTAAACTAGGGTATTAGGCATCAGAGTTGGAGAAAGACTTACTTTTTGTGGTAAGCAAAATAACACCCTGCCTCTCCCAAAAGATGTCCATGCCCTAGTTCTTCCTGGAACCTGGGAATATATTACCATACGTGGCCAAAGGGACTCTGCAGATGTGATAAAATACCTTGAAATGGAGAATGTATCCACATGGGTCCAACATAATCCGAAAGGTCCCCATAAGAGAAAGGCAAGAGATCCTTGTCAAAGAACATGTGACTTTCCTTCTCTGTAGGAAGATTTAAAGATGCTGCTGGCTTTGAAGATGGAAGGAGCCAAGACCCAAGGAATGTAGATGACCTCTAGAAACCGAGAAAAGCAAGCAAAGAGCACCTGGAAGAAAGAGAGCCCTGCCACATCTTGATTTTTCATCTCAGTTAAGACTCATTTTTGAACTTCTGCCTTTCACAAATATTAAAAAAATTTAAAATATGTTGTTTTTGTAAACCAAAAATAAAACTATAAGCTCCCAAACAATTGGATCCCCTTTGGACCAAGGAAAATCTGAAAAAATTATGCCTCCTTCCCTTGTGAAGTTTTAGGCATAACTGACTGGCATTTACATTAACATAGAGATCAGAAGACTGACAAAACAGACTTTGTGGCAGTAAGATACCCAATTCCAACCTGACTCTGGTATAGCATCTCATGACAGAACACGGGCCCTAAAGGAAAAATATTTTACCCCAAGATGTTTTTCGACATATTCTGAAATGCCCCGGCAAAGTTGTCTCTTCGAAAAATGGCATCTATGGAGAACAACCTAAGGCATTTACCACCTATTGTCTCTGAAGCCTGCTACTCAGAGCTTTCAGCGCACAAACATGAAGAACTCTGACTTCCACAACCCCCCATCTTAACTCAAGCATTTTTGGTACTGCTCTCAAATTCTTTAGACAGAGCTTAACTCTTTCTACCAACTCCCAATCAGAAAATCTTTGAATTCAACCTATGATCTATAAGCCTCCCACTTGAAGATGTCCTGCTTTTCCAGGCCAAATCAATGTAAACCTCACATATATTAATTTGTTTTGCCTGTAACTTCCTGTCTCCCCAAAGATGAATACAACCAAGATGTAATTCAGCCATCTTGGACACATATTCTTAGGACCTCTGTGGACTGTATCACAGACCTGAGTCACTCACATTTAGTTCAGAGTAAATCTCTTTAGGCATTCAATGGAGTTTAGTATTCTCGTCAACATTTTAAGCCACTAAATTTGTATCACATTTTTATAGCCATTAATAAATGAATATACTTTTCATATACCACTTTTTACTGTTTTTATAAAAAAACCATGTCCATGTAGTACTGCCCCCCAAAAGATTGGTATACTAGATTTTCATTAATGTTTTCCTTAGTTTTACTAATTTTCAGAAGAAAGTTTTCACTACCAGATAATCTCTTTGAGATTTATTAAACTGATTTGTTGTTGTAGCTCACATTTGTAAGTGTGAGCCCAACAACACACAACTCCTGCAATTAAGGAATTTGTAGGTAGTCAGTAACAGCTAATGCCCTTAATAAACAAAGGGAGGATGACCACACATTTTTCAATGGCTTATAATCTAGCTAGGAAGAAAAACAAGCACACTTAAACTCTATAATAAAAGGCTTGCAGAAAAAGAAGTAAGTACCTGGTAGTATAGTATATAAAGTTTATATAGTATATAAACTTAAAAGCACAAAAAACCTTTTTCATGTAAAATTTTAAAAAGCTGAGTGGGATGGGATTAATTTGAAGACTCCTAAATAAGTTAAATGTTGATATAAGAAAACAAGAACTTCCTGACCTTCAGCAAAGATTCACAAAAGAACATAAATGAACAAAGTAACAAAAGTAGATAGCTACAAGTGGTAGTTACTATTTACTTCTATTACTAATGTTAATAACAAAAACTAATATTTACAAAGTGCCTGGGCTAAGCACTTTACATTTAATTTTCACAATTCCATGAAGTAGGCATTACTGTTATCTCAATTTCATTTCACTGAGATGGCAACTTAGCAAAGACAGGTACCAAACTCTGTCCTTTGGGACCACATTCTGAGTTATACTGAAAGAGTATACAGCAAAACCACTGACCATACTGTATCAGAAAACCCAATAAGAACATATTTACATGTCACTCTTGACTTTTATGTCAAAGTAACATACTATACAGCCCAACAAATGAGAGGCTCTGATAGTCAAGGACAACCACAGTCAAATGCTACCCAACCTCCCCAATTGCTTACACATGATCACATGTGATTGCTTTAACCTTCTACTTTGAAAATGAAAAAAATTATAAAGTGTTGGAAATCGCACAGGCATGGTGATAAACAATGAATTTACACAATATGTACAATCTAAAGCAAAAAACAAAAACAAAAAAATCCCAAACTGTTAAGACAAAAACGGCATACATCAAAAAGACAAAAACAGAAACAAGGAAGCTACATTGTGGCCAGCCACATTTATAACCTTATCAGATTATAAGCGATTTTCTATTCCACTGTTTCTATTAAAAACTGGAAAACATTTATAAAACATGTTCTATTCAAGAATGATTCTCAAGAACACAACAATTAAGTTAAAAAAGCAACAGGAAACAACATAGTGTTCTGGAATATAACTATAAGAAAGGCAGTGATGAGGTGAGTGGATTGCCTGAGCCCGCGGGTTCGAGACGCGCCTGGGCAACTTGGTGAGCCCTCATCTCTACAATAAGTCAAAAATTATTCGGGGGTGGTAGCGCGCGCCTGTAGTTCCAGCTACTTGGAAGGCTGAGGCGGAAGGATCGCCAGAGCCCAGCAGGCGAGCCTGCGGTGGCCTGGAGCGGACACTGCACTCCAGTCTGGGCAAGAGAGTGAGACTCCCAACACAAAAAAAAAAAAAAAAAAAAAAAGGCAGTGAAATGATAAATACAACCTTTAGATACTGTTCTTCTGAAGAATTCCTGAAAGTTACAGGTTCAAGGAGAGACACAGGGGCTTCCCAAGGCTGTTTTCTTTCTTAAACGACATAATGGGTAACCGAGAGCTCTGTATACTGCTAATCTTGTACTTAAATGTGTTTCAGAAACACTCTTTTGTGCCTACTACATTTTCAATAAAAACAAGAAAACAACTTCAGTGTCCTGGAGGGAAAGAATGAGTATAGGCAGGATATGATTTTAAAGTTTGCCTAAAGGAGCACACACTGTTCAGGCAAAGGAGTTTATAAAAGTAAAGTGCCTGGGCAGACACCAAAGTGGCATTAGCCCCGACTAGAAACAGGGAGGGTCTTTTTATTTATTTATTTATTTATTGTAGTGCGCATCTATAGTTCCAGCTACTTGGAAAGCTGAGGGAGGGTCTTTTATATGCACATAGTGCAAGGAGATCGGGAATGGAAACTTTCTTTTTTTTCTGGAAAATTTCTTGCAAGCAGCTGAGCTCCGGGGTGAGAGGTAGGGGCTCCGTGAGAAGTCGGTTGGGTCATCCATTTCCATCTCTGTCAGCCTGGGGGCTATGGGCTCCTGGGGAAGTGGGGGTGGGGGAGGCCTCCTTTCTCACTCTTGTGAGCCAGCTCGGAAATTAGTGCACAGCCTTCTTTTCCCACCTTTGTGAGCCAGCTCGGGGGTTAAAGCAGAGCTTTCTGGTTTTTCAACGTTAAGGCAGGCTTGAGGGGGAGTGGGAGCAGGGAGGGCCCTCCTGCTTTGCAATGTTAAAACAGACCTGAGGGGAAGTTTCCTGTGTCGATTAGCCGGGAAGGGGTGGGAGGGGCAGGGGTTGTAGCTGTCTTACAGGTCAAAAATGGGTCACCACAGCGGTGAGTGGACGCCGAGGAGACGGCGCTGGAGCCCACGCCTCGTCTCCACGGGGATGGTGGGGGAGGGGAACACAGGTATGTATGGCCGGAGCTCAGAGTTTTCCCGATCCCCCCTGCCCTGTCCCCCAATGTCAGTCAGTAGCCACAATGCTTTCCCCGAGGGGCAGCATCCCGGGAAAGGCTAGGCAGAACACCAAGAGTAGCTCGCGGGGCCGCAACTCCCGCGGAGCTCCAGATGGAGCCCCTGCCCGCTCAGTACTACCGCCAGGCGCCCTTCCCTCTCCTGGGTTCCCGCCCCGCCAGCCGAGAGGGTGTAAGGGGGTAGGAGGGGCCCACCATGGTGACGTCCTCGCGGCCTCGGAGGCCCTCCGCACTTTCCACCAGGGAAGGCTCTACAAGCGCGGCGGCAGCAGCTCGCTCAGTGGCTCCAACAAACTCCTACCCAATACATGTGGGGGAAGCGGTGAGGACCCGACCGGAAAAGGAGGGGTGAGTGCGCTTTTAAAAAATGTCCGGGGAAACTGAGACGTCGTTTTTTGCGCCCGCGTTGGATTTTCAGATGTTGGCCGGATGGCCCGCGGTCCCTGCGAGCTCGCGGGGCTTGAAGAGGAATTTGCGAGGGGCTGACCAAGGTCCGGCGCTGACTGCGAAGCTGGGGCTTGATTCTTCTTGCCCACGTCCCAGCGATGACACTGGCGTCTCTCCACTGCCGGTTGCGGAGCTGAGCGGCCTCTCCAGACAAGAGCTTCCGGCTCGGGCGTCCCCCGCCCCCTCTTACCCCGGGGCGGAGACCCACTGCCTCCGCCTTCCCTGGGTCAGGCCTCCCTCCCTCGGAGGCCCGGTTCCTTCATCTGCAGATCCCCGGTCTCATACCAGCTCAGGGTCTGATTTCTTCTCTCCGCGTGTGGAAGTTTGTTCACCTCCACTTTTAGACTTCCTGAGATAGCAATACTCAGCTGATATGCACTGAGCTCCTGCCGTGTCCAGACTCCTTGGACGCTCCCAAGTTCTCCCGCCCTCGGCTTCAATTCCAGGGGCTTGTGACAGTCGCTGTGATTTGGAATAGTGTGAGTACGCTCAATAAGAGAAAGGCTGTTTTACACGTGTCGTCCCTAAAGCCCTCTTTCAGAAGCGATATTTGAGCTGAGACCTGAATAAGTAAACCTGACGTGGGAAGAAGCGCTGGGGCAGGGGAAGTTGGATATACCTGAATATGCGTGCGCCAGTACTTGTGTTTATTTTATTTTATTTTAATTTATTTTATTTTATTTTATTGAGTCGAAGTCTCACTCTGTTGCCCAGGCAGGAGTGCAGTGGCACCCTCGTGGCCACTGCATCCTGGACCTGCTGGGCTCAAGCGATCCTTCTGCCTCAGTCTTCCAAGTAGCAAGAATCACACGTGCGTGCCACCACGTCTGGCTAATTTTTTGATTTATTGTAGAGGTAAGTTCTCACCAAGTTGCCTAGGCTGGTCTCGAACCCCTGGGCTCAGGCAATCCTCTTGCCGCTGCTCCCAAAGTGCTGGGATTACAGGCGTGAGCCATCAGGCTCCTTTAGTACTTGTGTTTAGTCAACGAGTTTATCCACTTTAAAAGTGATTTAAATTGTAAACTAGAGTGTGTGGCCAGAAGATTCTTAAATCTAAGGGCAAATGGCTTTTAATTGGATAAAAGTGCATTCTGTGTGAATCTACACAGTGAAGGTCGCCCTTGAATATATGTTGTGCAAACAGTATAGTCAGGTGTTGCTTAACACCAGGAGTACTGTCTGAGCAATGCGTCCTCAGGCGTGTGCAGTGTGGTAACACCATAAAGTGCACTTATGCAAATCTACACGATAGAGCCTGCTCCACACCTAGACTGTATAGCATAGCCTATCCCTTGGACTACAGACCTGTACAACTTGTTACTGTACTGAATGCTGTAGGCAATTGTAATAATGTGGTATTTTTGTATCTAGAAATAGAAAAGGTACAGTAAAAATACTGTAAGAATATATGTACCCTGGCTCCATGCTCTAACCCCTTCCCATGAAGCCCTCTTTCACCCATCCTCCCCTTCCCCCACCTCGCCCCCTCCCACCTCCCAACCCAGTGCTTATTGGCCTCCTGAGCTCTGTTACTGAAAATCTGTTAAGCATTAAATCCTCATTTTGGCTGTTTCAGCAGTTACTAATTGATCATAAAATTCCTACCTATTCCTACCCCGTTCCTAAATTTCAAATTGCCAACAACTCAACAAGCCATATATCCTGAAACTTTTATTTTTAAATAAAAGTAGGGTTTTAAATAAATAGTAGGGTTTGAAAAATAAAAGATTTCATGTTTTCCTCATTCTGACTCAACTCCTAAATAATATTTATTATGGATGTGTTCAAAAGATACTGTAAATATTAATAATACACTGTAGCAAATGAAAAATAAATTATGCAGATTAAGGGTAAAAATGACAGTAATTGCTAATACTTGGTCAGAATTGAATGCCTATGTACACCACTGTCATAGCAAAATGAATCCTCTCATTTTCTTCAATTCAACATCTGCCCCACCCCATAACCAGTGTAGATTATTTGGGGATATCTTTAGTGATATGTTTCTATAACTTAACATTAGGTATTGATACAATAAAAATACATGCATAATTCCTAAGTAACCACCAAAAAAATAGAAACAGGACACATAGCTTTGTACAGACTACACACAAGTAGAGAAAATATAGTAAATGGTGTAATTAAAAATACTCAACTAATTCAAACTAAGAAAATAAAAGGTAAAAAAAACAAGCAGCAAGGAAAATAAAAAACAAAAGTATGGCAGTAGATTTAAATCCACGAAAGAGTAATTATGAATTGTCTCCAATTTTTAAAAAAATGTCAAAATGAATTAAAAACATTCAACTCTGTCCTGCTTATAAGACATCTAGATTATAAAAAATAGAGTCATGTCAAATACTAAGAGAATGTAGGTATATATGCATAAATGTTATACAAAAAGACTTTAGTCAAAGATATGGTAGAAAAGATAACTTCATAATTCTAAAGTGTTTCCTGTTTAAATTCATATGCATCCAGTAATATGGTCTCAAAATATATAATATAAAAGCTGATACAATTGCAAGAAAAGGTAGGAAAAAAATAGCTTTGGTGGAAATTTTAACATGCTTTTTAAAATAATTGATATAACAAGCAGATAAAATATCACTAATAATATTGAAAAGTTGACCACAACACAATTTTACCTAACAAATTTATATAAATACTGCTTCCAGTGCTTAAAAGAATACATGAGGCAAATACAACTAAAAAAAAAAAAAGAGGAACTTAATTAAACTAAACAGCTTCTGCACAGTAAAAGAAATAATCAATAGAGTAAATAGGCAACTAACAGAATGGGAGAAGATATTTGCAAACTATACATCTGACAAAGGACTAACATCTGGAATCTACAAATAATACAAATAATTTAACAAGAATAAAGCAAATGACCCCATTAAAAAGTGGGCAAATGATATGAACAGACTTCTCTCAAAAGAAGATATACAAATGGCCAACAAACATGAAAAGTTACTCAACATCACTAATCATCAGGGAAATGCAAATTAAAGCCACAATGAGATACCACCTTACACCAGTCAAAATGGCCAATATTTTTAAAAAATCAAAAAACAATAGAGGCTGGCATGGATGTGGAGAAAAGGGAACACTTATACACTATTGGTGGCAGTGTAAATTAGTACAGCCTCTATGGAAAGCAATATGGCGATTTCATCAAAAAAACGAAAAGTAAATCTACCATCTAATCCAGCAATCCCACTACTAGGTATCTACCCTAAAGAACAGAGCTTATTATAATACAAAGACACCTGCACCCACATGTTCATTGCAGCACAATTGCAAAGATGTGGAATCAACCTAAATGCCCATCAACCAATCAGTGAATAAAGAAAATGTGATATATATACACCATGGAATACTATGCAGCCATAAAAAGAATGAAATGATGTGCAGCCACGTAGATGAAACTGGAGATCATCCTCCTAAATAAACTGACTCAGAAACAGAAAACAATAGATGCTGGCATGGATGTGGAGAAAAGGGAACACATAAGCTGTTGGTGGGAGTGTAAATTAATACAACCTCTATGGAAAACAGTATGGAGATTACTCAAAGAACTAAAAGTAGTTCTACCATTTAATCCAACAATCTGAACACCACATGTTCTCACTCATGTGGGAGCTAAATGGTCACAAAGATGTAAATAATAGACACTGGGGACACTAATAAGGTGGGGGAAGGGAAGGGAAGGGGGAAAGGAGAGTTAGGATTCAGAAACTACCTATGGGGCACAATGTTCGTTATCTGGGGCATAGGTCACCTAAGACCCTATCTTCACCACTACACAATATGTCCATGTAATACGCATGTGTACCCCCTGAATCTAAAATGACATAAAATAAATGAAAAGAATACATGTGTTTTTGAATGAGTGGTGTTAAATTAAGTTTAGTCCAAAGCTGCTCCTTAGCGTATTTTGGTTTGACCTAAAGTTTCTCCGTATCCTTTCTCATGGTGAACTGAACCAAGCTGGATGTGTAAAGAGACTGTAATCTACTTTTGTGCCAATCACCTATTTTGGCCAGTCAAAGGCAACCAACTGTTCAAACTAGGTTCAAATAAGTTCAACACTGAGCTATAACCAATCCGACTGTTTTTGTACCTCACTTTGCCTTTTTGTCCATAAACTTCTTCCACCAGACTTCTGGAGTCTCTGAGGCTCTTCTGGTTCTGAAGGCTGCCTGATTCATACATCATTCTTTGCTTAATTAAATTCTGTTCAATTTCACTTGTTATTAAGTGTGTTCTTTTAACAGTGATATCGTTAACAAAGCTGTTCATACATTGGGCCAGAAAGCAATGTCTGAAAGGGTTTAAGTCCTATAGAACATATTATTTGACTACCATATAATTAAACTAGAATTCAATAACAAGAAGATAGCAAGCAAGTTCCCACATATTGAGAAATTAAGAATTGTACTTCTAAATCAGTCATGTGCTAAAGAAGAAATCATAATGGAAATTAGGAACCAGTTTAGGCTAGATGACAACAAAAATACCAAATTAGTAGGATGCATCTGAAGTAATAATTAGTCCTTTAGTGTTAATATTAGAGTCTTCAACACAAACAAATGGAAAAATATTCCATGATCATGGATAGGAAGAATCAACATTGTTAAGGTGTCCATCCTATTAAAGGCAATCTACAGATTCAATGCAATACCCATTAAGTTACCAACATCATTCTTCTCAGATCTGGAAAGGACAATACAGAAATTCATACGAAAACATAAATGACCATGAATAGCCAAAACAATCCTTAGCAAAAGAAACACCAGGAGCTTTCACACTTCCAGAATTTAAACTTTACTATAAGGCTACAGTAATCAAAA